ACACGCGAAGCGGATGTAGAAAGTAGGACCTTAGTGCCTGTCAACACCCGTTGCTGCAAACGCATAGTTTTGGAATGATCCTGCCCCGCGCTCGAGGGACAGCTTTGCTTGTCGTCACGTCATCTGGTGTTGTAAGCCCTGGCAAATGTCCTTCGAGGGCCTGTTCTTGGCAGGAAAGTAATATCTGAATTGCAGAAGACTGCAACATGTTCCCAGTGCTCGGAACCCGGCCGGCAGAAAGGTTGCAGGATGCGGGAAAGAACCGCTATTTGGTTCAAGTAGCAAGAAGCGAACAGGGCCTGTCAGCCTAGTTCGTCGGAGCCTTAAGCACTAGACTTAACTCTTGACCTGACCCTGACCCTAGCCCCCTAGCCTGTAAAACCGTAAAACGCATGCAGAAGCTCAAGACTTCTCTGGGAAAGAGAACTGGCCAAACACTGGGAGGTTGCTCACTAAACCCTGAACGCCGAACCCTGAATACGGAATACCCTAAGCCCTGTTAATCCGACTTTCTCCTTTCTCACCCTAAGCCCGAAACGCTAGGCCCTAAATACCATAAATCTTTCGAGAGGTCTGGTGCTGTTGTTGGAACCTTTGGCTGTTGTTTGACATCCCTGTAGGATGCCAGGGTAAGGATTGCTTTCCAAGCTTTTTGGGCTCAATATTCCTGGCCGGCATTTGGGGGATTCCGAAATCAGGAATACCTTCTTGGAGTCCTTTTAGAAGGGAATCCTATTGTGTGGGGTCTATATTTGGGGTCCCGTCTTTTCGTAAACTCCCGTATTTCGGGCGGCATCTATGGGCATCAATTGTTCCTATTGCTATTGTTAAGTTTCTTCTTCTGCTTTTAGAATATTGTTCATATTGATATGGTTACTCATGTCACTCTTAATGTGACCAATATGAACATTCGCAAAGCTTAAGAAATGGCAGGTTGAGCTCAGGACATTCTCGGGGTCTCAGCGAGTTCCATGGGCAGACTTCTGGGCACTGTGCATGTCGAGCTGGCAGCCGTGCACTATGATATTGCCGGAGGCATGCATCCTGTTCATTCCTGTGCCCGCTATCTTGAAACCCGGAAGGGTTTAGGGTTTAGGGTTTAGGGTTTAGGGTTTAGGGTTTAAGGTTTAGGGTTTAGGGTTTAGGGTTTTGAGATCTTCCCCCGAACAAGGTTCCGTGACACGAGAAAATCAGGATGCATATCTCTCAGCAGTAGCACCATGGGAAGCTGTGCGCTAATGAAGGCCATCGAGGCCACTGCCGGCCTATTGAGCAAGTGACCCTACTGTAGGCCCCCCTAGCAGCCACTGTTCATGACTAGCTTCCCCCGCAACGGGGTTGTCTTCAACACGGCATTATTTAACTGTGCCCGTGAATGAGTCGCTATGCCGACTGTGTTTGAAAAAGCTGCCCGGGTATCCTGCCAGGGAGACATCAGGAGACCCAGGGCTTGGACACTAAGCCCCATAAACCCTGAACCTGGCCGGTCGCTCCAGTTGTGGCCGGGAGACCGCCAGCGTGTCACAGACCAGACTCCATGACGGATGTGTGCGATAGGATTTCGAAGGGCACGTAAACCCCCTGCCATGTTTGCATGGCAGATCGGACAGACGACGGACACGCCCGAAAGTGCGCATGAATGTGAGCCACGTGCCACGCAAGGAGCGTCGGACTCGACTCCCTCGCCCCTCCAGCAACGTGGGGCAGGCCTCATTTTTGTGCAACTTAGGTAGACAGAATAAATAAATGTATATATATATATATACATGATCATTACTACTATGATTGTTTATTAGATTCTTGTTGTTACTCTTTGTTATCATCTAGCATCGTTTGTGGCATTGCACCATGCCTCTGGACACAAACCCTTAGAGGCTCAGAGGCCTCAAGCCCCATCCCTCAACCCACGAGCCTAAGGTCCCAGCATCCCCCGAGACTAATTTCGCAGATTGAAAGGCGCCCCCCACGGTCAAGGCTGGCGAGGCTTCAATGGTTGAGGGTTTTGGGGTTTAGGGTTTAGGGTTTGGGGTTTAGGGCGTAGGGTTTAGAAGGCGTAGGGCTTAGGCGTCCCCTAGGCAGCTGATGTGCATCTCATCTGAACTTGACCCAAACAGACTGTTTTGGGATAGGCAGTCGGGCGTGGGGGTTGCAGACAACCCGAAGATATGTTGGATGCTGGGCATTCCGTGATGTTCTAGGAGCTCGATTTGGGCACTCTCATCGTCTCTGCCCTGCTGCGCTGTGACTGCAGTCGCGCCCCAGATACTCATCTCATGGCCCGAGGCTAAACCCTAAACCCTAAACCCTAAACCCTAAACCCCAAACCCTAAACCCTAAACCCTCCATCCCCTGTTCAGGATATGCCCATGTTTATCGAGCCCGTGACGGAAGTTAGCGAGGCAGTCGCCTCGACCACCATTTGAGGAAATCCGTCAAAACCGGTAAAGTTAGTAGTTTTGGGGTGAGGGTTTAGGGCTTAGGGCCTAGGGTTAGCCTGGGCACAGACCAGCCTCACACATTGGCTCACACCGCTTGATATCTTCGAGAAGCTAAATCTCAGAGTATGGCAATATGATAATATGATAATATTGTATTATCAAGATGACAATATACATATATATATATATATGATAATCTGATAATTCTGATAAATCTGATAACGTGCTGATGTGATACTACAATGGTATACTCAGATAGCGACATATAAGCTCCCTTCAGTTCTTGAGAGTTCCCTCCCATGAAGGCACGTGAGCCCACTGCAGCCGGTGCTAGGGTCCGAATCTCATGGAACCTCCGTGGGAACGTCACACTTCTTGGGCTTCCGACGCCTTTTTGGGGTCCGAGATTCTAAGCCTAAACCCTGAACCCTAATTCTGGTGGGAGACTCATGCAGTGCCAGCTTAAGAGCTGCATCTCCAGTAGGAGCTCAGTGGTAGAGTAGCCAAACACACACCCGCCGAGCCGCCTTCGGCATTGGGCTTGCCGGGGTCCAAGGGCTTTTGACCCCAAGGAAAGTGGGTTTCAATGGATAGACTTAGGAAGAAATCCTACAAAAACGTAGGTCTTGGGCTCTTAAGGTAATTAGACTTGCCTGGAGCCTCTGCATTCGAGAGCATGCGCACATTCCCGGATTGAATCAGCTGCGCACTTCCCCAGGCTGCTCGGCCAATGACTTCCGATGGCCGGGAGATACGCATCATGGCGGTGATTCGGGCTTGTGAGGCTGAGGAGTTGTCTTTGTCATAGTTGGGGTACCATTTTACATGTTTAAGGCTACTTAAACCCTATAAGGAATCAGAAAATTTAGTTTTGAATATTGTCCCAACCATGAACTAGTTGTGGGTCAGGCTTGCAGGCTGGTGCGAATTGCGTGTGGGCACGCGAGGGGTACGGCTTTCACAAGCCCAGGCCTCCGAACTTATCCCTGTCGCCATCAGCAAAATTTGCAAGTTGCAGAAACCGTTGAGCTTTGAGAGTTGTTCCTTCTCGTCCATTTCCGAATGCTTGAAGCAGGCCCCTCACCATGCAATGCAGCCTTCCAGTCCAGATCCGTGTCCTTCATGTGCGGATGCGCAGCAACTTTAACGAAGCCATCTTAGCTCCCGCGCTGCACCGCTTTGATGCCCAGAGGTCTGATCTCTACAAACAGCTCCCAGCCTTGCAAAGGAAGCCCCGAGTCTCCCTCCATCCTCTTCAGTCCGGATCCCGTGGTGGCCAGCGAGGCGGGGGCGGGGGGGGGGGGGGAAGGAGGGCAGGCCTCTGCACGCCGAGCGCAGGGATAGTTTTTTGGGTTGCCGGACGCCTGCCAAAGCATGGAAGGCTTCCACGCGCTGCGCGACGGCCGAGAAGGCGAGAACAGGGCCCCGCCTGCGGCGACCGCGATTTTCATCCCATTTCTGAGTCCTCGTGCGAGGAGGTATCGCAGTTGAAAGCTGATTTGAATGCTATCGCCTGTTCTCTAACTCAGCAGCTGCAACTTGAAGCGTGTGGTGTGGGCGAAAGGCGGCCCAAAGTATGCCAGATATGTGTGGATGAAAGAACTATATTATACTCTACATCAACCGGATTTTATACGAGGTATTTCACTACAAGTACACATTATACTCTATTACAAACACACATATTATACTACCTTGTTTTATATACTATACTGTTTCGTCAACTCCGTGGGTTCTGGAAGGGCGGTGGAGTCGCAGGTGGCAGTCAGAACAGTGGAGCTGCCAAAGGCTCCGCCCCCCTGCCTTGGTTTGGCGTTGCTGGCGGCGGGGTTCTATCACTGGCCGCTCTTGTAGTACATGAATATAGTATCATGTAGCCTAAAGTGTAATATGGCAAAATCTAGTATAATATATTCGTATAGTCAATACAGTATCATGGCCCCCTGAGTTGTTTCAGTGAAAACCCCCTTAAACCTATTTCCTAAGCACAAGCCTTGAAGTGGCGGTTGAGGGCGCGCAAGGTTCATGAATGTTTGAAGTACCTTATGATAACACGCTTTCATAGGATTCTTGGGGGACCTCAAGAAGGAAGGTTTTGGGCTCTTAAGGTATAACCTATTATGCGCAACCTCTCGCACGTGGGCAACGGCAGAAGCCGCCCACTGGGCCCTCTCTAAATCTCTCTAAGTGGGGCGGGCTAACCCCCCCCCCCTCCCTAAACCGCCTGAAACCCTCTTAATTCCCCGTCAACCCCCCTCCTCCTGACCCCCCCCCCCCTTCCTTAAAGGTTGAGCTTCAGGTTTCGGTTCAAACTGGTATCCTCCAGTCCTTCGGTTCAGCTTGGTATGGCCGAAACCCCCCAAGATCCAGGGTTAAGGGGGTAAGGTTTAGGGTTTAGGGTAACACCTCCTTGCTGACCGCGCCGGCCGAAGGTTCCTGTGGTTAGCAAAGGTCTTCCAAGGAAGCCGAGGTTGACACAGTGTAGCAAGCTAGATACGCCACAGGCTTCGGGATAGTGTTAGCAGCTTCGTCAGCCACATTCTGGGCCTGAACGTTTCACCCATGGACTCTGCGACTGGGCGAGTTCAGGCACGGCGGCTGGGGGGAGGGCCATGGGTGCAATGCTCACGGTCTCTGAGGTGCTGCATAGCCCAAATCAACCTTGCTAGAGACAGCGCTCACAACGGGCGTCCCGCGCAAGTTGATAATTTTTATCCCAACCGCAAGGACGGGCCCTGACGGTGCCTTGCAGCCTTCCCCCGCCTCCCTTCCCCCCCAAAAACACGAAGCGCTTGCTTGCTCCTGCAGGTTTGGGCGCGTGTCCGGCCTCCGATTGAACAGGCCTGCCTTCAAAGCGGCGCAGCCTTATGTCTGCCGGTTGGCGGTGGTAAGTGCTTTGTAGGATTGCAGTTCACTTTTTTAAAGGTTTCATTGGTTTTTATCCATGAACCAGATAGCCTATACACCCTAGAGACCCTGCAGCCCCTGCACACCTTCGTATCCCCAGAATAGGCCAAAAAGCACTGTAAGCAAAGACCCGACACACCCTATGCACGCCATCAACAAGCCCAAATAAGCCCCTAGAAGCCCCTCAACCCTAAACCCTAAACCCTAAACCCTGGAAGGCCCTAAACTCTACACTCTAAACCCTAAACCCTAAACCCTAAACCCTGGAAGCCCTAAACCCTAAACCCTGAAGCCAGATCATGGGCCTGGCCTCGGCAGGATCATGGCCCCAGCACCGCAGTCGAGTGCTGCGAGTCGACGAAGATGGCACCCCACACCTGCCATTGAACAGGGTTTAGGGTTTAGGGTTTCGGGTTTCGGGTTTCGGGTGGTTTCGGGGGCTTGTTGGGGTTTAGGGTTTAGGGTTTAGGATGGTGTCGGGGAAGTTTTGGGGTTTAGGGGGTGGGGGGCAGGGGGGTAGTATCCTGGAGGTTTGACATCGGCTTTAAGGCGAGACCTCGGCATGTGTGCGTAATGCTGTGGGCAGGACCTCAGCCGAGTTTCCTTTCGCAGAGCCTCCCTGTGCTGGACCTGTGCTGGAAGCCATGCCAAAATCATGAGCTCATGTAGAATACTGTAGAATCGTGATCAGTACTGTATCGACATTTTGGCCAGCATCGTTGAGAATTCACTTACAAACCGTCCCAAAAGCTGGCCGCACTCGAGTTCGGTTGGGAAGGCTGTGCGAGATGCGCCACATTCAAAGGCTGGTCAGCCAGGTGCGGGTGCGCAACGACGCCGAGGCTGTCGAGAGGATCCTCAATGGTCAGGCAGACGGGGCAGGGTTGCACTTTCAGCAACTTCTACAGGCACGACCTGCTTGTGCCAGGAGCGACCCTTCCAGGGTTGAATGCGCTATCACGTATGCAGTATGTTGGTCGTGTTAGGGCTGCTGTGGGAAGACTCGGGCGACCCCAAAATGCCCGGAGAATGCCAAATATCACAGTCTGTCAACAAAGGCAGAACTGTCGTCGGCATCACCTGAGCCGAAGGCGCCAGCAGCGTGTGATCGCACAGCTTTTTGTTGTTGCTCATGAGATGTCGCAAACTTTCAAGGGCCCGCAGCCAAAAGCTTCCCCACCCTCTCCCTAGCTCCCTTGACTCTGCTGTCATGGCGCAACGTCGTGGACGATCAGGGATGGCACTGCTGGCAGCCAGTGCCCTGTTGTTGTGCGCTGTGCCAGCCTTCGTCCCTTCCGTCAGCCGCCGCAGTGCGTTGGCGGCCCCAGCCACAGCTGCCATGCTCTTGTTGGGTGCCGAGGCAGCAACGGCAGACGTTAAAGCCTGCAACCCTGGCGCCAACAACTGCTGGTCCACGGCGTCCACTGACAAGACGAAGATGAGCGCTTGGGCGTGGCCGGCAGGAACGAGCAAGGGAGAGGCGGTGAGCCAGCTCAAAGCGGTCATCGATGCTTACCCCCAGGCTGGACAGGACGGTGTCGACTTGGGTGGATGGTCCTATGCTGTCGACACCCTTGCCGACAAGGGCTACGCGCGCTTGGAGTTCAAGTCAGGACTCGGCAACTTTGCCAAGTTCTTCAACGGTGGCCAGCCCTTCGTTGATGACTTTGAAGTGAGCGTGGGAGACAGCAGCGTGGCAGTTCGAAGCGCCTCGCGGGTGGGAGACAGTGATCTTGGAGTGAATGCAAAGAGATGCAACTACATCGCGGCCGCTTTGCAGGCAAAGGGCTGGGACGCCCCGGCGATCAAGGCCTAGAGATCCTCAAAAGAGAGAGGAAGTCCCCTTTTTCAAGGGGTATGTACCTAGTACGAGGAGAGCCTGCACCTAAAAAGGCGCGGACAAGCGCCCAGCTTCTAGTCCCCAGAGCAGCACAGGTACTCTTAGAGAGACATTTGGCATCTCGCATCTGTGCCTCTGCACGCAGTTACCCAAAGATCCTTGATTCGATCTTGGGCGATTTTCGCATGCCCAGCATGCCCGATTGGACTATGGATTGCAGCATACTTGCCAAACGAGCGCGTGCAAATGGAAGCTGGCTGTTTCCAGTGGGGTCCTGAAGCGTTCTATACTATAGCTTTCAAGCCCGGGTCGACGTGTTCATTCGTCTGCAGTGCACGTACCAGCATGCTGCGCTTTAAGCATACCCTAAACCCTAAACCCTAAACCTCTTGGAGGAGTTTGCCTTCGACGGAGTCTTCGGGGAGCAGTCGGCCACTTCGGCTCATTTTTTTTCATGTCGGAGTCCGCTCAGACCAGGCATTGATGGCATAACCCTAAACCCTAAACCCTAAACCCTAAACCCTAACCCCTAAACCCTAAACCCTAAACCCTAAACCCTAAACCCTAAACCCTAAACCCTAAACCCTAACCCCCGCTGTAAATCCTAAACCTTGAGTCCTTCCGCAGCCGCGAGCCCCTTAATCCCAACCAGGTGTCAGCACCGCGAGTGTGTTGTCCCGAAAGCCACTTCGTCCAAGGCACACGCACAACATTCCAAATATTGCAACAAAGTTATTAAACCACAAAACAGGTAGAAATATAAACCAGTACGTTTCTGTGTAAGTAAAAAATAAGTAGATCAGCAAATGATATGAATATAGATATAGATATAAATATACATAGATATAAATACAGATATGTACATATATATATATATATTTATATTTATCAATCTATAGTGGTATAGAAAAGTACATTTTGCGGGCCCCAAGGCGCAGCGTGACGTCTTCATGCAGATTGGGCTTCCTGTCCTGCGCGAGGCCTGAAATGTAACTCCTTGTGCGCCCGCTTGCCACATGCGCACGTGGCCCAGTGACTTCACACCCCAAACCCCGAGTTTAGGTAGACTCAGGGTTCGAGCCAAGGCAGATTTGGGTTAGGGTTTAGGGTTTGGGGTTTAGGGTTTAGGGTTTAGGGTTTAGGGTTTAGGGTTTAGGTTTTAGGGTTTAGGGTTTAGGGTTTAGGGTTTAGGGTTTAGGGTTTAGGGTAAACCCTAAACTCTAAACGCCTTGAAGATTGGAGCGTCTTTGCTCCCACCTTTGAGGCGCTCCGGGGCATCAACGGCACCGTCCTGGCCTACGGACAGACCGGCTCCGGCAAGGTACGCCCTTGGGGCGATGTTGCAGGTGAATGAAACGGTTTAGGGTTTAGGGTTTAGGGTTTAGGGTTTGGGTTTAGGGTTTAGGGTTTAGGGTTTAGGGTTTAGGGTTTAGGGTTTAGGGTTTAGGGTTTAGGGTTTAGGGTTTAGGGTTTAGGGTTTAGGGTTTAGGGTTTAGGGTTTAGGGTTTAGGGTTTAGGGTTTATTTAGGGTTTAGGGTTATTTATGGTCCCTTCTGAGGTGTTAGGAATCGGCCCCTGGCATTTGGAGATCTGGGCCGAGACGTGGGAGCACTGAGTATGCAGAGCTTAAGGATGCTAAGCGTTCGTGACTCTAGGGCTTCAGGGCCACTCCTGAGTGCAAGGCCAAGATGTCGGCTTAGGGTCTTCCGCGGGTACGTAGTTTAGCAGATTCTAGAGTCTTGCTGAATGCGGGAACAGACCTCAACGCCCTGCCCCAGACGCACTCCCTGCTGCACCAGAGCGCCAAGGGAGAAGAGGCTCCAGAAGGGATTGTTGGGCAAGCAAGGTCGTGGCTCCAGAGTAGGCCTTTGCTCACTGAAGACCTGGGCTTAGAAGCAGGCCAATCCGATCCGACAGATGTGAGGGCTTGCGGTATCACTATGAGGCAAGCAGTACTTGTTATATAGTCCAATGAAGACCCCAAACGGCTGCCACGGCAATCCGCACACACAACAGCAGCACGTCGACACTTCAGCCTTCTTCATGCAGCCCCTCCTTAAGCCCCAATCCTTAAAGCCCTTATGACAGGTTCCGATGAGGGTCGATTGGACCCCGAACCCCAAAACCCAGCTACCTGACCCGACTGAGGCAGGGCTGCTACCCCGGCTGGTGGCATCTTTGCCCTGAGGCTGCAGAGAGCCCGAGGGGCTCAGTTTCGAGCTTCCTGCTGGGGTTCGGAAGGTTTGGGTCTTCGGGAAGGCCTCGGGACTCGGGCTTGTCTTTCGGGTCTGGGGCCCCTACAAAGCTACCCTAAGCCCCGAAAGCCCTACACTTTTTAGGTGTAGGTCTCTGGGCCTTTTGGGTGGGAGTGAGGGAGCCGGAGGCCTCGTGAACCGCACCAAGAGCTCCACCACGAAGGCCCCACATTAAGTTGCAACACCTGAAATCCCAGCTGCTTGGGAACCTTGAGGGATTACATGGGTTTGGGATTCTTAAGGCTTTGGTGTTGATAGAGCTTATAGTCGGGCTTCAGGGGGTTTTATTGGGACCAAGGTTTCTGATGATCAGCCAAGATGTTGCAAACGTTTACGACATCGAGGCGGCAGCGGTTCAGGCGGGGGCTGCTTTGGTGGGGTTTGGGTCGACGGCCAGCTGCCTCCCGAACCTCCTTCTTGAATGAAACCCTAAACCCTAAACCCTAAACCCTAAACCCTAAACCCTAAACCCTAAACCCTAAACCCTAAACCCTAAACCCTAACCCTGTTTTCCTACTATAAACCCTGTATACTTTTCTACGATCTGACTCCATTGTCCGGCATTCCAGATTGCGCTGGCAGGTCTACAATGAACAAGTTGACGACCTGCTGAACTCTGAACACCAGAGCGGCATCGGATGCTCAGCCAGCTTATGGTGGTGATTCATCGCGAACTCTTCATCGCCCCTGTACTTTATAGCTTCCTATAAGGGGCGCAGATTTCGAGCCAGCCTCATTTCCAGAAGTTTCGTTGAGTTTTGGATGTGTCTCCCCGATTTTGGAGCCTGTCAATACCGATGAACTCGGCTCGCCTCGAAGGACACAACCTGAACGTCCGCGACGGCGGCGTGGTCAATGGGCTGACCTGGATCCGATGCACAAAGCCCGATGAGATGCTGGACGCCCGCCCGCAAGAGAGCAATTGAGCTGGTGGCCCAAGTATATACAGCTCTCCTTGATAGAATATACAGCATATATGTAGATAGATAGGCTTATTTGTGCTTATATCGATTTGGATCGAGCGCTCCACTTATGGGAGTATAGGCGCATGAATCCGTGACACGCCTCGTCGAGCCATCGTGTATACTTGAGATTGCATTGTCGTCTAGACTCCGGTTGACTGTTGGCAAGGCAAGCATCAGAAGCATGAGTATCTCCAGGAGGCGTCCACGCTCACAAACAAAGGATTCGTCCTTTTCCTTCGATTCCGATGCAGTAGGGTGTAGGTACTCCCTAGGCCCTAAACCCTAAACCCCAAACCCTGGTACTTCTCAATTCTGGTGCGGGGTTTCATCTTCCGCTGGACCGGCCGGGATGATCCGAGCATGCGGGCGAAGGCGAAGAACTCCAAACACCAAACTTGGCAGCTCAGGGATCCTTAATAATTAGGATGATTCATATGAATCATAATAATAATAATAGTAATCATCATCATAATCAAAATAATCATAATCATAATCATATTCCTACTTATAATATTCTTCTTATTATAGTTTCATGAATGGTGTTCGTAGTATTTTCCCGCAGCCCCTTCTTTGGGGATCGGCGAGCATGCTTGAAGGAAGCCTTCACGCGAGCTCGCGCCAACGTCGTCTACGCGGAGACCAAGATGAACAAGGCCGCTGGAGTCAAGCCCTAAAACCCCAGACCCGAAGCCCTAAACCCTAAACCCTAAGCCCTAAACCCTAAACCCTAAACCCCAAACCCTAAACCCTAAACCCTAAACCCTAAACCCTGTCAGCCTGGAGGATGTCTCAGGCTGGGTGAAGGCCTGCCTCCATTATGAAGTTTGGGGGGTTTAGGGTTTAGGGTTTTTGGGTTTAGAGTTTTAGGGTTTAGGGTTTAGGGTTTAGGGCTTCGGGTTTGAGGGGATTTAGGGGATTTAGGGTTTTCTTGGAGATTCACAAGGAGCGGTTTTTGAGCTTACTTTTTTTTTTGGGGGGGGGGGTTTACAGTGTTTGGGGACTCAGACGCAGATACTGGTGATCTCAAGCTGCATCAGCTGGGGCACTGTAACCTTCTTTACTCCTCCCTGAACCCGTTAGCAAAGCAACAGACGAGCATCTGTGTTATATATGTGTATATACATATACACATATTTTTTGGTTTTCATGTTACGAACGAGAATGTTTGTATGATGTCGAGAGTCTGAGCCCCTCAACCATGTGCGCTCTCAGCGAATGCTCCGCGCGGAGGCTTCCAGCCGGAGCCACGCCATCTTCCAACTTCGGATCAGCTGCCAGCCTTATGTGGGGGTCACGACAATAAGGGACCCTTAATATTGCCCCTCAAATAGTCGGATCACTTGTAATATGGACCTAAAAAAGGTACCCTTAATTTTGGAAACCCCCTTATCCAGAAATCAGTGCAGTAGCGAACTGGGGTTTCTGGGGCTTAGGGTTTTGGATCCAGGGGCCGGGGCCTGCAGGAGCGAGCCATGGCACACATCTGTGGGGGATCACGGCGGTCCTTTTTTCCCTAAACCCTAAACCCTAAACCCTAAACCCTCAACGTCTCCATGCCTCGCCACCCCGCAAGCGCACTTCCAAGGTAAGCGCGAGCGCGTTTTCGAAGCTTCGAAGACCGGGCAGAAGGTAGAGTGCACCATCGCAAGGCCGGAGGTTGCCAGGAGGGGAGGGGACCCTAAACCCTAAACCCTAAACCCTAAACCCTAAACCCTAAACATGCCCAGGGTTTCGGGCCTTTTGAGGCGCAGATCCCAGGAGTTCATCGTGGAACTGCCGGGCCATACTTGAGACACCGTAGGGTTCCTGCGCCCAGGAATGTGCCGACGAAATATGCTTTTGAACCATGAGCTTTTACGCCGCATACTCATTGGTGGCCTTGTTTTGCATAAGTCGGTGAAACACACTTCGCAGCTCACTGAGTTTATTAGAGCCCCTCTGCTTAACTGAAGCTTGAGAACGGCAAGCGTTCCCTTCTGACAAGGGTTGATCTTAGAGCCCTAAAGCCTAGAAGTCTTGACTAACGTACTTGGCCCGAACTTATTGGTTCCAGACCTTTGCACGCAGGAAGGTTGAAACTCGTACAGGGTCCTCAAGAATCACCTGATTGCCCCCTGACAGTCGAACCCCTCCAATCCAGCCAATTGTTCTCGGCGGAGGCTGAATGTCGTGGACCTTGCTGGGTCTGAGCGCGCCGCTGCCCTATGCACCCGCAGTAAGTCGCGGTTCGGGGGTCTGAGGGTCAGGCTCAGAAGGCGCTAAAATCCAAATGTGGGCAGCACTGAGTTGACCTACAGCGGTAGTTGCTGTCGGGTTTCAGTGAGAGCGTGCGCAGATGGGGTGCTTGTGCTGTTCCTGGCAGATGAGGATGCAGGGTCTGGAGGAAACCGTAGCCAAGCGAAGGTCAAGAAGTCGGGCTCCGAAGGCATGCGCTTTCAGGCACCCGAGCCAGGCTTTGGCTTCGGGAGGAATTCTTGTGTTCTGTGGGTGCCATGGTTTCGTTTTTGTGAGGGAAGGGGCCTTGGCCAGGATCCGTTTCATCTCGACGTGAGTGGGAGCAGACCGTGTGCTGTGTGCTGGCCTCATGATGGCCAGGAAGCCACGAACATCAACCGCAGCCTTCTGGCCTTTGGGACCCTCGTGCTGTGCCGTCGGGGTTGGTGATTGCAGAGGGAGGGTTGTCAGCTAGACTTCCTGCTCGGCTCGGGCGTCGGACATGTGTGCTTTCGGTGATGTAGCCGAACCAAAACACTACCCTTAATAGCTAACCGCAGCTAGCCACCAGTTGCCCAAGCGCCGACCGGAAATCGACCCGAGCACTGGATCAGACATCTTGGGCTTGCGCCGTGAGGAATGTGGTCAGCGCCCTGGCTGCGCGCAAGTCGCACGTGCCTTTGCGAGACAGCAAGCTCACCAGGACAGATTCGGTCATTATAGCAGATGCTGCATGCGGCTGAGTTAAGGCATCGCGGCTGTAGTGTGGAGCGGAGCACTGAAGAACCTGTCATGAGCTGAAATACTCACAAAACGTTTGCTGAAACTGATCGCGGCAAAGTTCCAACTCCTTGCTGAACTCTGATCCCAAGCCCAAAAGCAGCAACCCTTGGTAGGATCCTCGATGGCTCGATTGGTGGCAACTGCCGCACCGCACTGCTCGTGTGCGTGAATGGGTCCTTGGAACACGCGGCTCGCTTCGCAAATTGCTTGCACTCCTCTTGATGGCAGTTGCCCGAGAAGCGTCATCCTTTAAGCCCACTCTGTGCCAGATAGCACGCCCAGTCCTCTTTTGCTGATCTTATAAAGGTTCGCAGGAGTTTCGGTGAGAGACGACGCGCCAGGGATGCTTTTGCTCTCGGCAGATAATCATGCAATTGCTTCTTACATCGTAGCTGCAGTAGCAGTTGCAGAGAGGAGCAGCCATGTAAGGTGGGCGAGACTCAGAATACCTTAGAGTTCGCCTCGCGGGCCATGCGCGTGGAGGCGGGAAAATGGGGAGAGAAGGCAATCGACCAGCATACCATAAGCTTGAACATTTCATCTCGAATGTCGGGGTGAGGGACAGGGTAGTGCCACCAAATCCCAGATTCATCTACTGACTACTTAGCACCTTTCTCTATCCTGAAAAGCCCACACCAACCCTTGACACGTTTTCTTGGGCCATGCACAATGTGCTGGCTCCAAAAGTGTGACAAAACAAGGGCAAAGGGAGCCTGAATGACTGAAGGATATTGAAGGATTTAAGGTGGACAGGGTGCGCTTAGGTTTTTAGATGCTTTCAGGGTTTGTGACGATGCTCCTCATCCTGCAGGTGGACGCCAAAGTCAACACGGCGCTGGTGGAAGTAAGCGCCAAGGAAAAGCATGGGGGAGGGGTTGGGGGGGGGGGGGGGGGGGGTGGCGGAGTACAAGCTGGCTGGAGGAGCTATGCGGGGCTCGTTAGCGTTCAGAGTAGGGGTGCCCTTGCCGTGTGGTGAATATGCCTGCAGCACTTGCACTGCCGGTACCCGGTACTCCTGTACGATGTACTGTTTTACTCCCAGCTCTCCCCGTGTTTTGGCAGGCTCAGCTTCGACAGCTGCTTGACATGTCAACCAACTTGCTCCCTTGGCAGACCCTCCTGGCCGACCTCAATCCCGAAGCGCACGAGTTCGGAAAGAAGGTGGCAAGGGCTGACTCTGGGGAATAAACATGTAGACACCCTACACAAAGCCCATACGGGCTGTAGATCCTCTATTCTTCGGGCCGCCAGTCTGCTGCACTTAGCCTTCGCCACAACACCGACCGGCAACGCACCCCGATATGCATTGCCGAATCCTTCTGACCGAGTGCAAACCCCTGTTCAGTAGAAGTTGAATACCCACTCCATTTCGATCTGACCAATGTTCGCAACTCCCTTCGCCAGGTGCAAGCAGACAAGAAGGAGATCGAGGCTCACTTCGCCTTTCTCTCCACGCCCTGAAGCCCTAATGCCTTTAATGAATCCCTTAAGCCCCAGACCCTTAAAACCTAAACCTGAAACTGCTCACAGCCTTGCGCACACCCCCCGAAAGCCTTAAACCTTGGACGCGCAACACTCAAACCCTGAACGAGCTCTGGTCGGGTGAAGTCTCCGTGAACTCCGTGTTCAATCTGCCCTGAGCTTTAAACACTGAATCCTGAACCCTAAACCCCAACTATAAACCTTACTTTCATCATCAACTTCATGCCTCTTATTGACATGTATCTGAAACCGGACATTTTAAGCACAGGCATTGCTGAACCTCGCAACGCATGAGTTTCTAAATCCTCCTAAATCTAAACCCGCTCGACCCCCTAAACCTCAAACCACTCTAACCCCCCTTAAGGAAGAGCCCTAAGCCCTAAACGCTAAACCCTATACCCTAGACCCTAAACCCTATACCCTAAACCCTAAATCCTCCCCCCTAAAGTTCATCTTTGCCGTCCAGGCCCTTCGCAAGCAGTCTGCCGATGCAGCAGAGCAGGTGGGGCTGCTAGTGTTTTGGGGTTGAGGGTGTTAGGGCTTGGGGCAGTTTAGGGGTTCTACATGTATATACTAACATTCTAATTTCTAATATACCTACATAGAAATAAAATCATCGAGCACTAGAGTAGTAGAGTACTGGTGCAATAGAGTACTTTGGTTATATAGCAATGTAGTTTTTTAGAATCTAGCATGAGAGTAATGGAGTATTAAGAGCAATAGAGTAATAGAGTACTAGAGCAACACAGTAATCGAGGAAGAGGGAATAGAGCAATAGAGTAAAAGAGTAAAAGAGTAAAAGAGTACAAGAGTAATAGAGTAATAGAGTAATAGAGTAATAGAGTAATAGAGTAATAGAGTAATAGAGTAATAGAGTAATAGAGTAATAGAGTAATAGAGTAATAGAGTAGTAATAGAGTAATAATAGAGTAATAATAGAGTAATACTAGAGTAATAATAGAGTAGTAATAGAGCAATCGAGTAGTAATAGAGTAGTAATAGAGTAATAATAGAATAGTAATAGAGGAATAATAGAGTAACAATAGAGTAATAATAGAGTAGTAATAGAGTAATAGAGTAATAGAGTAATAGAGTAATAGAGTAATAGAGTAATAGAGTAATAGAGTAATACAGTAATAGAGTAATAGAGTAATAGAGTAATAGAGTAGTAGAGTAATAGAGTACTAGAGTAATAGAGTAATAGAGTAATAGAGTAATGGAGTAATAGAGTAATAGAGTAATGGAGTAATAGAGTGCTAGAATAACAACAATATATACTACGAAAGCAACAACAATATCATCACATCTTATACTGGCTCCTGTCTAGAAATTGGGAAACAAGGCCAAGCGCGAAGCCGAGAAGCGCGAGAAGGCACCGCCCATGCATGGTTCGCCCAGAGTCGGGCTTGGTCCGAATTTGAGAACTCCGGGTCGGTGAAAGTTTCTGAATCTCTGCCCATCGTGCTTGTATGTGCTGTGGTGGGTAGAGAGACGAGGGTTTCACAATCCGCGTCCCACAAAAAGGGGGGTCCTATAACTATAGGGAACGGTATCAGGGGTGTTGCAGAGGGTGAGTTGATCTTTGTTTTGTTGATTTTCGTCTCCAGAATAGGTCCGAGAGTGTCCGGGCACTCCCAGGCCGTGCAGGAGGCGGAAAGCAACGTGAAGAAGCTGCAGCAGGCAGTGTGGTGTGCAGCGAAAGCTGAGCAACTGGCCCTGGGAAGGGTTGAGGATTCTAGGAGGTTTTGAGGGTTCAGGGGTGTTGAATTCGTGTCTTTTGCTTGGAACACAGGATAAGCTGAAATATTTCGCTGCAAGCGTGTTGCCACCGCGCATGCATTGCCCAAACAGAAAGTACCACCACGTGACCCTTAACCATCTCTTTCCTGCTCGCATGGCCAGCACAGTATTTCCGGCACGTGACGTACAGGCAGCGCCAATTGGACAGCACAAAAACAGTCGAAAGGCCCGTCGCTCGAATAGTTGCAATGGCCGTTGTCGTCGTCGCGGCGCCGCCACAGCCGCTAGTGCGACTTGGTGACGAGGATCGGCTGCCGATAGTGAACAAGGCTTCATACGTGGCTGTTTGTTCTGGAATCCTTATACCACGACACTTTAGCGTGCCGAGAAAGAATGGCCCCCTTCTGGGTCTGCTACGTTACTGCGCCTGCAAATCTGGGTACCAAAGAGGGACTATAGAAGGTTCCAAGCCCGACCCACACCTGACCGTACCAAACCCCAAACCCCATACACCGTTAGCCCTGTAAGCCCAAAGATGTCCCCAGGAGGTCATGGTAAACTCAATCGAATCAGCCCGCTGCAAGCTAAGGCCCCGAGCACTTGAAGAAGCCCCAAGCCCTAAAACCCCATACCCTAAGCCCCAAGCCCTAAACCTCCAACCCTAAACCCCAAACCCTAAGCTCCACACCCTAAACCCGAAACCCTAAACCCTAAACCCGAAACCCTAAACCCTAAACCCTAAACCCTAAACCCTAACCCCTAACCCCTAACCCCTAACCCCAAACACATTTCAGGTGCGCCCCGGGGGCCAGCCTCGAGGTGACCTGGGCGCTTCGGGCCACCGAGGCACCATCGCGGGATTCAGGGCTTCTAACGGGCTTTGGAGGGTTTAGGGTTTGTTGATTTGTATATAGTTTTTGTGTGTGTGAGAGTATGGGTGTGCTTGTTTGTTTTGGGGTTGGCTTTGGGATTCTTTCGGGGGTTCTTGCGGTGTGAAGAGGAGTTGGGGCTTCAGGGTTTAAGGCCTTTTGGGGAAAAGGGGGCGGGGGGGGTGTGCTTGTTCTTGGAAACTGCGGGGCTCGGAAAAGGTACAGAGGAGTTGGGGTGTCGTCTTTCTCTCAGGTTCTCAGGTTGGGTATAAGGTCAGGCCCTAAGCCCTAAACCCTAACCCCAAAACCCTAAACCCTAAACCCTAAACCCTAAACCCTAAACCCAGGGAAGGGCTTGGGGCACGAGTCTCTGGCTTCAGGGGAGGAGCGGGAGCCCTGGAGTTGTCGGACGGCGACAGGGTTGTCCGTTGACTCCCGGGTTGGCCTTTGCGACATTGAGGTATCTTTCCTTATTTGGTTTCATAAGGGATCCTATATACTGATATCTTTCCTTATTTTGGTTTCATAAGGGACCCTGTATACTGATGTCTTTCCTTATTTGGGTTTCATAAGGGACCCTATGTACTGATATCTTTCCTTATTTGGGTTTTCATAAGCGACCCTATATACTGATATCTTTCCTTATTTGGGTTTCATAAGGGACCCTATATACTGATATCTTTCCTTACTTGGGTTTCATAAGCGACCCTATATACTGATATCTTTCCTTACTTGGGTTTCCCAGAAGGGACCCTTTCTACTAACATTTTTCAAAGGGGGTTTTCAAGGCCAACCCAGACTCCGACTCCAGAGCCCCCTGACCCGATGTCACCGCCCTGTCCTGAGAGGCGCTCGCCCCAGGGGCTGCCCTTGCTTTGCGGGCCACGGAGGCTTTTCAGAGCAAAGTCACATGGGGTGGTGGTGAGGGGTGATGCAAGAACCCCCCCCCCCCAGAGGTGGCGGGCCATGGGCAGGCTTGACCTTCGAGCTGGTGGAACTGCGAATTCGCATGGAAGAGAAAGAAATTGTCTGCCGAATTTGCTCGGACGCTTGTCAGGCAGCAGTCGTGACCATTCCCGACGCTGCCCAGACCCCAGATTCATGATACGTGGCATCCACAATGCAGTGGACCTGTGAATCGTGAAGCTTTTGGAAGCTATGCGGCCACGACGCCCAGGACCTTGAGTTATGTAATCCAGAAGCCACTATGGCTTACCGTAAGAATCCATAAGATTAGGTCCTTGGGGCCCGCAGAAGAGCTTGCCAACCGCTGGTAGGAGGTTGAAGACCGGCGCTTTTGTATGTTCCTCAAGATGGCTTCCGATAAAAGAAGGAGCCCCTCCCTACCATCCCCCTCCCAGCGGGAATCAGTATGTCCTCGAGGCCCTGTATGCTTCTCACTCCCTCACCCGCCCTTGTAAGCCCTGAAGCCCATAAACCCTAAACCCTAGAACCCCAAACCCTAAACCCCAAGGTCCCCGCAGGCGGCACTGTGGAGCTGGTATTGCAGCTACCTTCGCCCAAACTTACCGGTGCCGTGGCGCCTTGGCAGACAAAGGTTGGATTTTGGGGTTTTGTGGTTTTGTGGTTTTTCGGGTTTTCGGGTTTTCGGGTTTTCGGGTTTTCGGGTTTTCGGGTTTTGTGGTTTTCGGGTTTTCGGGTTTTCGGGTTGGTTTAGGGTTTTGGGGTGTTAATTAATCAGGGTTGTGGACAGGGCTTGGTCTACAGCTGCTCGCTACCGCACATCGGCACGAGGGATGGAGAACTCAAGAAATCGCGGGCAGTACATTGCAAAGCAATGGGGAGTTTAGGGTTTAGGGTTTAGGGTTATGGAGAGCAGAGTGCAATACAAAGGAGAGTACAGGGCAGGGCAATGGAGGCTGAGCGGAGAATGGACTGGGAGGGTATAGAGTGGAAAAGCAGTTGCATGCTTCGGGGTCCCGGGATGATCCTAGATACAGGCATGAGTTGCAAAGCCCTTTAGAGACAAACGTGCCATGCAACGCAGAACGGAACCCGCCTGTTGTACTGCATGTACGCCGCCTTTGCTAAAGCGCCTGATGTAGCACCGGCTGTTCTGATGATTCGCCCGTGTACTGATGTCAAATGTGTCGCTGCTGTGTTTTAATAAAAGGCCGGTGGGACTTGGAACACATGTGCCTGCGATGGCAGTTTTGATGGTGCGACAAGGTATACGTCCACCCCGGATTCGCATGACAACATTGTCACTGCTTCGGGTTTTTCTTGGATAGAGGGGCTTATTGGGGGATTGGGAGGGCTGGGGGAAGGGGGGGTCATTGGTAGCTAAAACGAGCCGGCCTGAGAAGCAGAACACATCGATTTTGGCGGGACGTGATGCGTAGCCTACGTAGTGCACTTCCCAAGTTATAAACGTGGCCCAACATCCAGGGGTTTCCTTCTGTAGCTGCGCGCTTTAGGTTTGCTGTGCTGCCTATCAGCAACTCTTGCGGTCTCAATGTTTCAACAAGCTGCGAGTGACGGAGGTCTGCGAGTTCGTTCTGCGGACCTGCGATGGCCAGATCATCAACGACAACCTTTCGTTGGTGTTGGACATCAGGTGCAGCCAGCAAGGGGGCACTTTTTGAGCACCGGTGAGCCTCTGATGCCCGGACCCCAAAGTTTCGAAGCCAGAAAGGGCTCCAGAACCTCAAGTTCAAGACCACCTCGCCCCAAACTGAGGCGGCAGCGAAAGGAAAACCTGAAACTGCTCGTACATCCTGAGTGGCAAAACCCCAGACCCTAAACCTTTCTAAACCCTAAACCCTAAACCCTAAACCCCAAACCCTAAGAAGCTCCGGTGCTTCGCAGGGCTGACAGGGAGCCACAAGAGCGACGCGCCTTGGCTCCCGTCAGAGCACCACATTGTCAGGGCATAAACCCTAAACCCTAAACCCTAAACCCTAAACCCTAAACCCGGTAGCTCAGAATCGCCCCTGCACAGTTCAAAGTATGGTGCATAAGCAATGAAAAAGCGGCCTAAGAACCCTACAGCAAAGATGCCCGGCTTTTTGGGCACCCCCGTGTGCAGCTTCAGGTATAGCCCCCCCCCCCCCCCCCCCAATATTCCCCAAGCTCATTTTCAAAAAAAAGGATGCTGTTCAAAACTCGTGTGCCAAGCCCAAGGCCGTAGGTTTCCCTTGCACCGAGCCCTTGCGCCGATGAAAGGCCATGCCGGGGGTTTAGGGTTTAGGGTTTAGGGTTTAGGGTGTAGGGTTTAGGGGTACTCACACAGTGCATCGACCATCACCCTTGCACTCGCCTCACTAGCCCTTGCGCTCGCCCTTGCGCCCCCCGGTTGTGCCATGCGGGTTTTGGGTGACATGGTTAATCGCAGGGGCAACATATGTATGGCCGCCCTACTCTACTGTCAAGAGGTGGGGGAAAACCCCTAAACCCTAAACCCTAAACCTTGAACCCCCAAATGTGTTTATGAGTCAACATGTTTGTTCCTAAGCATTATGGTACAGGCCTAGCCTAAACCCTTCAAACCCAAAACCCTACGGTAGTTGTCTATTCTCCTTATTCTTTCTGGTGTCGAAAGCCAGAAGACGTAGAAACATAGATTCGAATGATGTGCGTGAGACAGTGCCTTAACATGTGCAGAAGTAGCAAACCCTCCCCACGAGCTGAACCCAGACAGAATTGAATCTGAACAAACAAAGAAGAAGCTCGCGAACCACGAACGACAAGGAACATGAACAGGTACAGGGCCGAAATACTGCGGGATGCTACTTCACTTCCTTCCCCTTGCCAGGGATTGTGTGGCGGGCAGACAGAAGGCTTGTGAGAGAAGGTTTGTAGCCGAAAAATTCTAAGCCAAGGGGCGCAGCCACACCCGAACCTGGGCATCTTCCCTGGTGCGCACACCCGAAAGCGTCCCGGCCGCAGACGGAGCTTGCAGTATTTTTAGGGTTGAGGGTAGGACTAAGAGTGCGGGTTAGGTCTATGCCCAAAACCGCAAATCCTGTGAGTCAGGCTAAGGGTCCCAGAAGGACGTTCCCGATGTCCAGGTCCGGCAAGATCCCTCACGCAAGCATGCTACGCCGCTGACCTCTGCACATGGCTCATCTCATCCCTCCAGCGCATGTTCCGCAAATATCCGCAAATTCCTCTTTTAATTTGGTGAGCCTGAGTTTGGTCAGGTGACACAGGTGCCGGCAGGCGTTTCTGTGCAGAGCAGGGATTGCAGCGTAGTTCAGTGTAGCTCGGTCCGGATCGCCACGGACTTCTCGAGCTGCTCCACACTCTGAGGGTCTACTTTGGGGCGGCGCCCGCATTGCCCAACACAGAGCCTGTTGCGGTGGAGCCGCCGAAGGTGAGGTCAGAGAGGCCCGGATATGCGGGGGTGCGCCAGAGGTGTTTGCATTGTGTTTGCTAACCAAGTCAGAACGATTTTGAAAAGAAGCAGAGCATGCTTTGCAAGATGGTCGGACTGGCTCGTGGATGTCGTTGCAGGTCCTGCATCCACGTTACCAGCCCCGCAGAAACAACTGTAAAACACCCTAACAGAGCCCCTCAGGGCCGAAGACGCCGAGTGGGAACTCCTCTCTGGGTCACGCCTGGATGCCCTGCCGGACAGCTCCGCACTGTGTTGGGAAGCTGGGCTTGGGGCTTCCGGTGCTGGAGGCTTGAAACCGTAATACCGAGTGAGACATGGGTTCCTTATGATGATATGCAACATGTAGAGACATGGGCATCAGGTGATCCTTTCGCCGTAGCTCCTGAGGCTGTGGGTTGTCGCACCGAACACGTGCACTTAAGGGCCAAGGGTCGGGCAAGTCTGACCGGAAGTTCTCGGATGAAGCCTATCGGCCTATCAGCTCAGCGAGCCATGACCGCTCCAACCCGAAGCCATCCCGGAAGCCTTGGAACCCTAAACCCTAAACCCTAAACCCTAAACCCTGAACCCTGAACCCTAAACCCTAAACCCTAAAACCCCAAATAATGGCATCGCATTGGTCAATGCAGCAGCTACAGGCGCCCTCGTGTTTGCCAGGAGGACCTCGCCAAACGCTTTGGAGGACCCGGGGAGGTCACCCTTGGGCAATTGCCAGCAGAGTTTGTGCCAACCCTTTACACCATTCAAGCCAAAGTCCTAAACCCTAAGCCCATGGCGTGAGTGTCCACGAAGGTGCACGCACCATTGATTTGGGTCGTGACTGATGCTCAACCCTCATGCCCAGCAAGTCCTAGCTTGCAAACCCTAGACCCAGCATGCCCCTGAGAAGGTATGCAACCAAGAAGAAGCCCAAAACGTGCTCAACCACCCGAAACCCAAGAAGCTGATTTGTCGGAGGCCACGGTGCGCTTTTGGGTGAATGGCGAGGAGCAGGCAGAAGCTGTTTCCGTCTCTGACATTGAAAACGACAAATATGATTTTTTTACATGTGTGTACTACGCACGTCGACATTCACATGTATTTGCGTTAAAATGTATGATAAAGGGGGCAGAGTGCACTCCCTTGTTGTACAGTTATCAGCATTGATATGGTGCCCGTATAGTTCTTTCACTTTGCAGCGTGATACAACATCGTTTTAAGACATGGAGGTTCCCTCTATTCCTCTATGATGCACACACCCTTGCTGGCAAGAACACAATGTGTAATAATGTAATACTCTAATAATGTTGGAATGGAGTAATATAGTTGTGTAATGCTGTGATTCTCTTGAACGGTGGCCCAACAAGCCCGAACATACCTGAATCATATTTAGTCAAACCTTCTGCGAGGGGATCCAACATACAGTGTCCCATATCCAAGACTGTTGGGAGCAATCCTAAAACCTCAACATCCAAAACTAAAGCCAAAACGGGTGTTATTCAACATTTGAGAAAATCTGACTAAAGCTAATTAAGGGCCGGTGTGGGTCACAGTTCCTTGGGCGTCGTGAATCTTGGATCCGGGCCTTAGTCAAGATCTAAGCCTTGGGCCTCGTAATTGTTGGATCCGGGCCTTTTTCAAGAGCTAAGTAATACTGAGAGAAGTGAAGAAGGATTTCTTGCCTAGTTTCTGGAAAAGCTATCGCGCGCAGCTAGATCGCATTCGCTCGTACAAGTGAACAGCTGCGACATATGGCATTCGACGAG